TACGTGGTTTAAAATCAAGAAGGGAGTGCGTCAGGGTTGTATCCTTTCTCCACACTTATTCAATCTATATGCTGAGCAAATAATCTGAGAAGCTGGACTATATGAAGAAAAACATGGTATCAGGATTGGAGGAAGAATCATTAACAACCTGAGATATGCAGACGATACAACTTTGCTTGCTGAAAGTGAGGATGACTTAAGGCACCTACTAATGAAGGTTGAAGAATACAGTCTGCAGTATGGATTACGTCTCAATATAAAGAAAACAAAAATCCTCACAACTGGACCAATGAGCAGCATCACAATAAATGGAGAGAAGATTGAGGTTGTCAAAGAATTCACATTGCTTGGTTCTACAATCGATGCCAACGGAAGCAGCAGTCAGGACATGAGACGACACGTAGCATTGGGAAAGTCAACTGCGAAGGAACTGTATCAAGTGCTGAGGAGCAAGGATATCTCCTTGAGGACTAAGGTGCGCCTGACACAAGCCATGATATTTCCAATCGCCTCGTATGCATGTGAGAGCTGGACACTGAATAAGGAAGACCGAAGAAGAGTTGATGCTTTTGAGTTGTGGTGCTGGCGAAGAATGCTGAAAGTACCGTGGACTGCTAAAAGAACTAACAGATCTGTCCTGGAGGAAGTGCAGCCAGAATGCTCCTTGGAAGCAAGAAGGGCCAGACTTCGTCTCACCTATTTTGGTCATGTTGTCAGAAGGGACCATTCCCTGGAGAAGGATGTCATGCTTGGTAGGGTGGAGGGTCGACGAAAGAGGCCTTCAACGAGATGGATTGACACGGTGCCTGCGATGATGGGCTCAAGTATAGCAGGGATTGTGGGGCTGGCGCGGGATCGGGCAGTGTTTCGTTCTGCTGTGCATGGGGTCAGTATGAGTCGGAGACGACTTGACGTCATTTAACAACAACAACAACATGTGATAGATAGTGGTTAGATGCTGGGTATAAAGTAGTGAATCAGACAGACATATTCACTTTCTTCATGAGCTTACCGTCTACAGAGACAAGTCCAGAAATATGTAGAAGGGTACCAGCTTTAATGTGTGTGTATTTGTGAGTAGTTACTGATGGGGGTGGTGGAGGGAAAGCATCTTGGAGGAAGTTATATGTAAGCTGAGACTTAAAGAAATAGTTACCCCAAAGCAAAAAACACACTGCTATCAAGTCAATTTGGACTCATAGTGACACTCTAGAACAGAGGAGAAGTGCCCCACAGGGTTTCCAAAGTTGTAAATCTTTATGGAAGCAAACTACCTCCTTTTTCTCCATTGAGTGGCTGGTGGGTTTGAACTGCTGACCATTTAGTTAGCAGCTGAATGCTTTAACCACTGCACTGCCAGGAAAAAACAAGACATTTTTTCTTGGCAAGGGAGCAGAGAAATGTGATATGTGGTTGGTGCAGATGTGTAAATGAGCCAGTAGGTATGGAAGGAGCAGTTTACAAAGGAGAAAACCACAATACCAATCCCACTGCCACCATGTCGATTCCAGCTCATAGTGACCCTCATTGGATTTCTGAGGTGGTAAATCTTTATGGAAGTAGATTGTCTAGTCTTACTTTCACGGATTGGCTGGTGGGTTTGAATCACCAACCTTCTGGTTAGCAGTCAGATGTCTTAGCACTGTGCTACCAGAGCTCCTTGTACAAAGGAGAAGGAATGACAAATGTGAAAAGGAAATGTGAGAGAGAATGTATATTCAGGGGAAGCTCATTGTTCTTAAATTTTGGAGTCTGGAGGAGGGAGTGGTAAAGAAGGAGAGGTCAGAGAGGTAAGCAAGAAGCCAGATCACTGCCCTCTGAAACTCAGGTTGCTACCTGGGCAAGAAATATAACTTGGTATACTACGCTGTACAGCTTATGGTTCTGTGACATGAATTAGTTCCTGTGCTATTGGTAAATGGAGGAATAATGCTAGAATAATGCAGAAGTTGTATTAGTTCATTTGTTGTTGTTGTTATGTTCTGTCAAGTCGGACTCAACTTATAGCGACCCCTCCTTGGGTTTCCCAGGCAGTATCACTACGGAAGTAGATTGCCCAACCTTCCTTCCAAGGAGTGGCTGGTGGGTTTGAACCTCCAGCCTTCTGGTTAGCAGTCAAGTGCCTTTGGCATTATGTTACCAGAGCTCCTATATTGGTTCATAAGCAGTTTTTTTCCATTGAGAGGAGGTAGAATTGTGGGAATGAAATACAGTCTTCAGCTAGAAAGGAAAATGGTGCTCAGCTCAGTTGTACTGTGAGTAGGAATTCTCATATATTATATATATTCTCATTATATATTATTATATTCACATTATGTGAATTATTATATTGAGCTAATAGCCTATTAAGGAGGCTCTGGTGGCAAAGTGGTTAACACATTTGGCTGCTAACCCAAAAGTGTCAAACTGGTGGTTTGAGCTCACCAGTTCCTTAGCAGGAGAAAGACAGGCAATCTGCTTCCATAAAGATTTACAGCCTTGGAAACCCCATGGGGTAGTTCTCCTGTGTCCTATAAGGTCACTATGTGTTGGAATCAACTTGATGGCAGTGGGTTTTTGGTTAAAAAGCCTATTAATATATTGATAGAATGCGGGAAACAAAAAGGCTTTGTTTTTACTGTGGAGTCTGCTGATTTGAATGCTAATCTAAAACATGTGGTCTCAGAAATACATTATGGCACTTACTTTAGAGTTAAGATATTTTCATACTATAGTGAAATAATGTATGATGAAAAAGCGATTTGAATTTCTAACAAAATATACTCTCTTTTCAAAGCACCATTTGTAATCCCAACTCTCGCATATTCTCAGTTAACTGTGATGCAGTGTTCATTCTGAGCAGAAGCTTACTCATTCTCTGATTAAAATTTAAATTCGTGACACTTTGTGCAAGTCACATTACCCCATTGTGGGACTTTCTGCGTTGTTTTCTTAACTGTAGTTGTCTGCTCAGTTTACTTTAGAACATTTATTTTTTGCATCAAGCTGAATTGTTTTACATGTGTCTGTGTTTGTTGTAGGGGAATTCGTATATTATCACCACTCTTCTGTTTGATCTTGCCATTAGTATACATCATGAAGCATTGACTACATAACTTTAAATATCCTTGTAATTGTCAGCTTTTTTTATTAGTAAGTTGCTTTTTTTCTAGAATAGTAATATTAACTGGAAATACAGAAGTGGATGTTTATTTCTAACATACTCGATTTTTAAGTTAATTTATCTTTTAAAGTAATTATAATTAGATCTTTAAAACCCTTTAATGCCCCCTTTGAAGAGTCTGCAAACTCATCTAGCTATGTCCTTTTATAAAAAAAAAGTTTGCCTAATTTTTGCCTTTAAGATGTCAAATTTTGAAATAGCTCTTTCATATTCATAGTGACAGAGTATGAGTTTGACTATATTTTTCTTTAGCTGTTATTTATTGGTCGATATTAGCATTCTTTATTGTTGTTGTTTTGTTGTTATGTGCCGTCAAGTCGGACCAGACTCATAGCGACCCCTCCTTGGGTTTGCAAGGCAAGTATCACTACGGAAGTAGATTGCCCCATTTTCCTTCCAAGGAGTGGCTGGTGGGTTTGAACCGCCAGCCTTCTGGTTAGCAGTCAAGTGCCTTAGGCACTATGCTACCAGAGCTCCTAGCATTCTTTATAGCAGATTATAAATAAGGCTCAAGTTCATTTTACTTTATCAACACAATATAAGCACTGTAATGCAAAAATGATTATTTAATAACCCAAGTTAAAAACAAAGAATACCAGAGTGCTTATGAGATAGCTTAAATATATTTGCAATATATTTAAAAATATGTTTAGGCATAGAAAGGTTAAATGAAAAAGGATATAAATGGAATTATATCAACACTAAAAGCACATTGCTGTATACCCACGCCTCACTTATTTACATGGTTAGGTCCCAGTCACCAGGTTGTTATATAAAATTGGTATTATATAAGTAGGACACTGAGATGGCCCCAGATGTTGGACCCTAAGACCTTCTGTGCCCCCGGTACCACTGCGCTCCTGGACCCCAAGGTTCTGCCATCAGGGCTGGTGCTTGAGCAGACCTGGGGCCCTGTGGCTGGACTAGAGACACAGTTGGCTCTGGGGCTCTGAAGATCAGCTAGGCCAGGGGATCAGGATGGTTGGTGGGAGCTGCTGCTTGTGCTCCTGACCCCCACAGCCTCCCCTCTGCAGCTTCAGACACCTGCAAGCTGGGAGGACCCCACAGAGATGAGCGACACACTCCTGGTCTTGGAGGGCTTGGAATATGAGCCTGGCAGCCTGGAGACTAAACAGCTGCTTAGGAGAGGGGCCACCAAGGCATGGCCATGAGGCAGGTGGGAGAGACTCCTTGTGAGAAGGGCCCATGAATGGTAGAGAGGCCCGAGAAGAGGTGGGAGCAGGGAATGTTGCTCCTGCTGCTCTCCTCTCCTCCGGCATCCTGGAAGAACCACATCCTGCAGCGGGAAGGGTACTCAGGGTAATTTCGGACTTATGTCATTGTCCCCATTACATAGTGATTTGTGAAAAATGACATTGATGAAATATGTGAATAATAAATAAAATCTATTAATATTCTGTTCAAAACAACTGCAGTTTGCTACAATAATTGATTATGCTTTTTTGATGATTATTTCCACTAACAAGTAGTGCTTAATGCTTCTAGGAAGAGTCAGTCATCTGTAATGCTACCTCTGTTTTGAAATAAGAGGGAATTGGGAATATAGGACATGAAGTGGAATACAGGAAACTTACTGAAAACAACTTAGCTAGAACAAAGCTATTCCAGATATCAGGTATACTTAACATACTTTTTGCACAAAAATTTCTTCTGAAATTGTGTGGTTTAGGGTTTCCTTCCAATCTATCCCTTGAATCAGGTTTCTGTGGAATATAAAGATAATTAACTTGTTTTTATAATATTTGTACATGAATTTGTTTATGTTTTAATTTTTTTTTCAATATTGTTAAACCAAATGTTTGCCTTGTTTCCCTAGGGAGTTGGTGTCTCAATTCATGGGCAATTCCGAGTGGCTACTGAAAAGACTCTCTTTGCAATGCCAGAAACAGCAATTGGTAAAATACAAAATATATATTCATCATTATTTTTAGGATTATCTTCATTTGATGCACTGAAGATTATATCCTGTTATGGAAGGAATTAATAGAATCTTGTGTACAATTCAACAGGGAAAGACCTTTTAAAAAGAAGTTAAATAGGAAGATAGTGAAACATTTTATTAGCTCACTAATTGTATCTGAAAGCATGAAAGTAAAGAGTATTTAACTGGACCTATGATCCATTTTGAGTTAATTTTTGCATGTGATGTGAGGTACAGATCAAGGTTTATTATTCTGTATATGGATATATAATCATTCCGGCACCATTGTTTGATTGCACTGCCGTATTTGTCAGTTGTCTTTGTTGATCTTGATGCCAATACCACACTCTCTTGATTACTGTAGCTTTAAAATAAGTTTTGAAATTAGTTTTAGTCCTCCAACTTTGTTCATGCCCCACCCCCAAAAAAATAAACAACTCACTGCCATCAAGTCAACTCTAACTCATAGTGACCCCATTGAGTTTTTGAGGCAGTAAATCTTTACGGAAGTAGATTGCCCCATCTTCTTTCCATGGAGTGGCTGGTGGATTTGAATGACCAGTCTTCTGGCTAGCAGACAAAGTTGATTTGTTGAGTCATTGATTTGAGACCTGGGTTGGAATTGTAAATTGATGGGTTTTAAAAATTAAACCTGTTGTCTTGTTTTCATTGTTTCCCTTGAGAAGTCTGTTGTCATCTTTATCTTTGTTCCTCTGTAAATAAATGTCTTCTTTTCTCTGTAAGCTTTTAATATTTTCTCTTCATCACTCATTTTGAGCACTTTAGATTTCTTCATATTTTTTGTGCTTTGGGCTTTTTTAGCTGCTTTATTCTATGAGTTTGTAGTTTTTGCCAAGTGCCAAGTTTAGAAAATTTTTTGTATTACTTATTCAAATATTTTTTTCTGTCTTCCTACCCCCCTTCCAGGAACTCCAAAAATATTTATATTAGGCCACATGAAATTGTTCCATAGCTCACTCACACTATATTCATTTGTTAAAATTCTCTTTTTCATTTTAGGTAGTTTCTATTCTCCTGTTTTCAAGTTCACTAATCTTTTCTTTCACAGAATCTAATCTGCCAATAATCCCATCCAGTGAATTTTTCGTCTTACACATTGTAGTTTTCATCTCTGGGAGTAAGATTGATGTCTTTGTATGTCTTCTATGTCTCTACTTAACTCTTTGAACATATAGGCTAAGTTATACTGACTGTGTCAATGTTTTTGCTAATTCTTAGTTCAGTTAAGTGCAATGATTGATTGATTTATCCCCTCATTATGGACAGTCTTCCTCTATTTCTTTAGATGTCTGATAATTATTATTATTATTAGATTTTAGACATTGTAAATTATACATCGGAGTTGATGGATATTTTTGTATTTATTTTTTAATTTGTTGTATACACCGCAAAACATACACCAATTGAACAATTTCTACATGTACAATTCAGTGACATTGATCACATTCTTCAAGTTGTACATCTCACCTTCCTTTTGTTGTTTCCCCATTATCATAAATTCACTGCCCTCTAAGGCCCCTATCCAATCTTTCGAATTGCTATTGTCAATTTTATCCCATATAGATAGTTAGTAAAAGAGCATAATGCTTAATGCAGGCATTTTTCACTAGTTAAGCTAAACTATTGTTTTGTTTTTGAGAAGATTTCAGTGGATATTTTTGGTTTAAGGTTTTTTTTTGTTTTTTTTTTTAAGTGTAGCTGTGGAGGTTGCTTATGTACAACCGGACAACTCCTGGGATTTGGTTCCTTGGTTTGGCATTAGGGCCATGTTCCAGTTTATGGGCCTAATAACATGTTCAGTGCTTCTGTTCTAAACCTCCTAGCTTATTGCATAGTGTCTGGGGTCTTAAAAGTTTGCTACTGACCACCGAGACACAGCAATCGGTCTTTATTTGCTTAAAGCAACAGAGGAAGGAGAGTTAGGAATAAGAGGAGGATATGGAATGTGTGGCTAATTGCTTCCATGAACAATTGTCTCCTTTGCCATAAGGCCAGAACTAGATGGTGCCTGGCTCCCATTACTGAACATTTTGATCAAAGATTCTATAGAAGAAGCCTGTTCAAAATGGGGAAATGTTGAACAGAATTTCAAATTCTCATGGACTCCAGACTTTCTGTAGTCATGGGGGCTGGGTGAACCCCTGAAACCACTGCCCTCAGATAATCTTTGAACCTTAAAACAAAAATATCTCCCGAATTTTTCTGTTTTTTTTTTTTAAATTGTGATTTGGGTGAACATTTACAGAGCAAATTCATTTTCTATATAGAAGTTCATACATATTTTGTTTCATGAGGTTGATTGCAATCCCCATAATGCAATAGCTCCCTTCCCACTTCCTCCCTGTAGTTACCTTTTCCCTGTCTTTTGTCCTGTGCATTCCTGCCTTCTGAGCTATCTCCCTGTGCAAATACTGACCTTCTGATCTCCCATGATTGACTGTTGTAAGGATTATACTTACCTGGTATAAATGTTCACCTTAAAATTCTTCTGTTTTTGTGTTCTTACTAATATTGTTGCGCTTTCTTCTAGGATGAAATTAAGTTACTTGGAAACAGGTTGATCCCTGTGGCCTTTTAAAATTTGTTATACATGTCTAGAACAGTGCTTATGCTCAAGCTAATTCTCCAGGACTGAGGCAAAACTCTTATTTGTATTATAGCCAGTGCCTCATGAATTATAAATTTTTCCTCCCTGGTTGGTGGAAACAGGCACTATTCCCAGCCCTGTGTGAGTTCCCAGTCAGTATTATCCCTGTAATCTGATTGTGTGGTTCTTTCCATTGCCTCAGGTAATTTCTTTAAACAGATGTATAAGCTAAATACTGAAGGAAGACTCTGCAATTCTCCAGAGTTTTCTCTCTGAGCAAACAGTTTTCTCTCTGAGCAAACAGTTTTCTCTGGTATCTTATCTAGCTGTTAAGTTTCATCTCAAATCAGTCACTCTGCTGAACCTGAAAACTCTCTCAAGGCACAAACCTGATGCAATTGTAGGGTTTACCTTTTTGTTTTCTGTCTGTTAGGGATCACTTTCCTTTATTATCTGGTATCCAGTGTCTTGAAACTATTGTTTCCAAATTACATCTGTTTTTCTAGTTATTTCAGGTAGGAGAGTAACTCTGGTCCAACACTCCATCTTGTCCAAAGTGTAATTCTCCCAGATAGCTTCTTTAGATTAGATGGATAAAGAGCGTCTCTGAGAAGCCTGACAAGTGAAAGCTGGTTTTATTAATATTTGAAAGAATATTGTGATGCTGAGAGAAAATTTAGTGCAGAGGCTCTAAGATGAGAATGAACTTTGAGTGTTGAAGGACAAAATGGAGGCAGTTGTAACTGAAGCAAGGCAGGAATGACACACATGCTTTTGAAAAGGTGCATGGGGCCTCTTGAACAGGTATATAGGGTCGCTATGAGTCGGATCTGACTCCATGGTAGTGAGTTTGGTTTTTTGGTTTTGGTGAAGAGTTTAGCTTTGAACTAAGTATTATGGGAATCCATTGGAGAATTTAAAGAAGAGAGTGGCATGATCTAGTTTACATTTTAATATCCTCCTCCTGGTTGCTTTGAGGTTAATGGATTGTAGGGATGCAAGAGTAGAAGCAGGGAGACTGGTTAAAGAGGTCCTAACAGTACTCTAGAGTTGTGTTGTCCAGTATAGTAATCATTAGTCACATGGCTACCTAAGTATAAATTAAATCTAAATAAACTAAAAAGCTTAGTTCCTTGGTTGTACCAACCACATTTGAAGTGTTTAAGAGTCACACAAGGGTAGTGGCTTCTTTACTGGATACTACGGATTATTGAACATTTTCAAAATTACAGAAAGTTCTATTGGACAGCAAAGATCTAAAGAGAGAAAATTATGGCTTGGAATGGTGTGGGAGTACAGAGTTGGAATAGAGTAGATAGACTGAAAAATGCTTTAGAGTAGAATTAACTGACCTTCTGATGTTAAGATTCAGGAATGTATCCACGGTGTCTAGTGTGAGCTACTGAATGGATGAGACCAATTAGTGTAGGGACAGTGTAATTTGAGGGATAGAAAAGAATTAGTTTGGGCCGTGTTATACGTGATATTCTTATTAGTTATCCATGTGGTTATGAGAAGAAGGCAAATCTAAGAGTTTAACATTCAAGGGAAAAGGTGTAACAGGACATAAAGATTTGGGCATAATCAACATATAAATGTTACCAAAGCCATAGCAGAATCTCCAAGTCATGTAGAGGTTAACATGTTTGGCTGCTAAAAGGCTGGAGGTTCAAATCTACGTAGAGGCACCTCAGAAGAAAGGCCTGGTAACACACTTTCCAAAATCAGCCATTGAAAGCGCTCTGGAGCACATGGGGTCCTCATGATCAGAATCAACTCAACAGAAATTGTTTGTTTTAAGCATCCAAGCTAAAGAAAATGTGTATGTAGGGAAGAGGAAGTAGCCCTAAAATGAGGCCTAAGCAGATAAAGCCTAAGTAAAGCAAAGCAGCATTTAGAGGTCAAGCGGAGGAAGTGGAACTAGCAAGGAAGACTGAGACAAAACATCCATGGAGACAAAAGGTGGAGGGAGAAAAATACAGTGCCACGGAAGGTAAGAAAGTGTTTGAGGATGGAACATGTGATCATTTGGGCAGAATGATGCTGAGGGTCTAAAGCAGGAAGGACTGTAGAATGTTGGAGGAACTGAAAGAAGACTAGGGAGGTTGGGATATAGTGAGTAGGTGATGGAGGCCTTAAAAATTTTGATAAAGATGTTGTTTTTTGTCTAAGAAAAATAGGCAGCCACTGAAAGGTTGTAAGCAGTAGAATGCAAGAATTTGATTAATATTTCTGTTTCTAAAAGATCACTTGCTCTTGTGTGTAAAACCATTTGGAGAAGGACCAATTGGGAGGCTATTATAGTATGTAATGGTTTTAATTAAGGTGGTGGAGATAGAGATGGATGGATATGAGTTGCAGTTAGG